GCATAATTTATTTTGGCACAAACCTCAAAAGCTAAAATGCTATCTAGAATCTGGAAGACCAGAGGCGTGGAGGTAGCCCTTCCAATAGAAAAACTGATACTCACCAGCACAGGAATGAACTCATTAGACTGAGAAAGTCAACTAATTCAGAAATTTAAAAAAAAAAAAAAAAAGTGGGGGGGAATGGCTTTTCCAAGAGTGGCAAAGAACCAGAACTTCTGGAAATCTGTCTCACATCAGTGCTCAAAGACAGCATTATGCCCTTGATGGAGTCATGTGTCAACTGTAACCATCTGATCTCTGTGTGGTGAAGGAAATTCATGTATTTTGTTCCAATTTCTTCACAAACTCTAGTAAAAAGGTGAAACTCAAGTGACTGACTTTTAATGTAGTTCACCATTTTCACAATTCTGTTTAGCATAGTTTTCAACTCATGGTCAATGGCTTTTGCAGCCAATGCTTTACAATGCAGAAACCAGTATGTGATTATAATAATACATTTTCACCAACAGCATAAATCCTTTTATTGACCTAACCATCTCTGGGCTTGGATGAGGTTTCAAAATCTTAGCTATCAATTCTGCTACTAAAAAGCTGGTTTATTTGACACTGACAGTTTTAGCAAATTTCAAGCTCTGTTGTTTTCTAGAATGTAAAAGTCTCTTAATGTAGTATTGAGGTTTGTCAGCAAGAGGACTATGTCGGATCAAGAAATGTCTCTTCAGTGCTATGAACAATTGCTTTACTGGCTAATTTATCACCACAAAAGATACATTCTGGAGTATGATTAAATTCTTCACTACACCTCATTGCTATCTGAAAAGGAACAATATTTCTTAGTTTTTATAGTCACCTTTGTCTTGCATTGTGTAGATTTTTCCCCCTTTTTCACTCACATTTCCACTCTTATCTGACACTATGTCCTCATCACTATCATCTTCATATTTTTACTCCTGATTGACAAAATTATCCATTATGATTTTTTAGGGCAGGTCATGGTGTACATTTCCAGATGTCTTCTCTTGGGTACAGTGGAAGGACTTTTGCTACCCCTCCTTGATCAATCAAATGACATACTTTCAATTATTATCTAGAGGATAGCTATCCCTACTTTGGCTTATCTGGCAGCAAACTTTACCCAATGCAGGGGACAGTTTTTAAATATGGCTGAGAATCACTGCATTAACCACTAGTATATATTGTGATATCAGATTACGCATAGCATTTCTAAGACAAAGAAGGTATATCTGACCATTCCTAATTCTGCAATTAAGAAAGTTAGTGAGATTGCAGATCTGTTTCATCCCCTTAGGTTCTGGCAGAAAAAAAGAAATAAAGACATATGATCATTTATACCTTGTTATGGAAAAGAAGTCAATCTACATACCAATTAACACATAAGAAAGGAGACTTAACAGAGTATGCTAACTATTAATATCCTTAATTTCACATGCTAGCAAAATGATGTTTAGGATCGTACAACACAGATTAGAGCCTATATGTAAAGAGAGATGCCAGATGTTCAAAAAGGCTTTAGAAACGGCCAAAGAACACATTATTGCTAATACATGCTCGATAATTAAGGAAGCGAAAGAATAGAAGAAATAAGTGCGTATGTACATAATTGATCATAGAAAGCCCTTTAATTGTGTCAGTAATGTCAAGTTGTGAAATGTACTTAGAAAAGTGGGAATCCCAGAACATCTCAATGTCCTTATGTGAAATCTATACACAGCTCAGGAAATCACAGTACAGACAGAACATGGCAAAACAGATTGGTTCCAGATTGGCAAAGGAATGAAGTAAGGTGGAATATTCTCTCCTTACTTATTCAACCAATATGTAGAATATATATTGAGGAAAGCTGGATTGGAAGAATATGGCAATGGTTTTAAAATTGGAGAAAGAAACATCAATAACCTGTGCTATGTTGATAACACTACTCTGATAGCTGAAAATGCAAATAATCTGCAAACTTGAATAATGAAAGTCAAGGAGCACAGTGAAAAAAATGGGACTAAGATTAAATGTACAGAAGACCAAATGAAAGACAACAGGTACAGAAGCCAACCTTAGAACTGACAGTGAAGATATTGAAATGGTGGACAGTGTCTGCCTTTTAAGATCAACTATCAACAGTAAAGGTATCAGCAGTCATGAAATAGACTGCAGACCAGCACTTAGTAGGGTAGTAATGAAGGCCTTGTAAAAGATATTCAGATGCCAGGATGTATCTACACCTACAAAAATCAGAATATTGCATAAAATGATTTTCCCTGTGATACTTGAAAACAAAAATTGGACACTGAAGAAGCAGGCTAGAAAGAGTACTGATGCTTTTGAATGTTGGTATTGGAGAAGACTGCTGAGAATATCATGAATAGTCAAGAAAACAAACCAATGGATCATCAAACAAATCAACCCAGAGTTTTCACTAAAGGCACAAATGACCAGGCTCAACTTATCATATTTCAGCTACATTATGTGAAGACTTAGTTCTCTGGAGAAGTCTATAATGTTGGGAAAGATGGAAGGGAAGAGAAGAGGATAACCACCAGCAAGGTGGATCAGCTCAATTACAGCATTGAGGGGTACACTGTTGGAAGACCCCAAGGACCAGGTTGGGAGAAGATCCTTCTGGGAAAAAAAATCTAAGAGTTTTTTAAGGTTGCTAAGAATTGACACAGGCAATCAAGCAGTCTCAACCAAAACACAGAATAAAAGGAAGCTGACTGAATTTTATAATCATTGTAGATTTTAAATTTGCTCTAGAGATCAATTCCAGCAATGAGTGTTTTAAGCATCACCTGCAAAATAGTCATTTAAATACTTGCTCAGGTCAGGAAATTATTCTAACTTAAATGACTTTTTCCTCCTGTTTTTGCTAGACAGCAGAAAGAGAATGTGCGTGTGTGTTGTGTGCTTGTAAGTTTTTGTATGAAAGAATATAAAGAAAATGGCTGATAAATGTAGATGGAGGATCTGTTATTTTTAAAAACAGTGTAATTTATTTTGCAAGCAATTTGTTTTATTAATAATTATTACTCCATTATATAATTTTGTGCCCAGGCCCTGTATTCAAATAAGCATAAAATAAAATTACCCTTTTTGTTTTGTACTGTATTTACCTAAAAGGAGAACAATTTAAGTCTATTGCCTTCCCCAAATGGAAGAGTACACAAGTAGGTAGGTAGGTAGGTAGACAGATAATAGACAGACATGTAAAAATGCATTATTATTATTATTATTATTATTCAGAGTCAAGATCACTTTTAAATCTACCTGTACTTTTTCAGGCTGTGGGTTTGAAGATCCATTACTGTTGTCATCAGCATCATCACTAAACATTTCAATTACCCTAAAAATTAGGGGGAAAATAGGAGAAATTACTTAAAAGGCAAAATGAATTATTCTTCATTAGGACAAAGCAGTACTGGGTAGCCCATACCATTGTGCAAAGTTGGAAAGTAGAATTGAGCCCTAATATAGAACAGCGAATCTTTCTCTACTTATTATACTTCTTATCATCTAGGATTCTTTTCATCTGAGCAGCCAAAATGTTTTGAACCCTTCTAACACTACCAAAACAGTACAAGGTGTATATGACAGCTGCATGTTTTGATTAAGTATAATACACAAGGACTCTCAACAGGAGTTGAAGTGATGCTCTGCTATAATTGCAAACAATGGCAAAGACGTATTTGCCAGCCCATAATATGAAGTCATTCCTAGCTATGCTTCAGTCAGGTTTAAAGGCCTGCCTTGAAGAATGTAGACAAGAATAGTCATTCACTAAAGTTAACTTCAGTAGGACCCTTAACTTAATAGACAATTACTTTTGTCATTAAAGTTAAAGCTATTTATCAGGAATCGTTGACTAAAGAAGCTGCTGTGATAAAGACAAAATGTGTATCTGAATCAAGGAGTTTTAATTACCTCATTATTCCCTACTTGTATTTTTGGCAACTTCAGGCAAATCTAATCAAGCCCTACTATAAGAATTGCTTTTGCATCCTTTCACAGAACAGGTATAGCTGATTCTACTACTTTAGAAGCATCTGTGATTACTTTCCTTCTATTTGCCCATATAGAATGATTTTTCCTGATGTCATTATTCTGACATTTATGCAAGGATCTCCCCATATTTTAAGTCACATGGGCTTCAGTCTTAACATTTGGAGAAAATAGGATACAGGTCTGGGTAGATAAGGATCAACCAAGCTGTTGTATTTTAACCAGAGGTCAATCCACCCTGGTCCTTTTTCTCACTACTGCAACATTTAGCTGACTTATACATTGCAACGTGGTATCCTGATACTAATTTTCCCTCACATGCAGTTTTCAGAGACTTCATTTTGCCAAATGAAAGTTCCATGTGCTTCTAAAAATTTGGTATGTTGTAAAACAAATCTTAAGAATGCAATAAGCTCAAAGCTGTTCACACAGGTTTGCAGCACTTTCTCCCTCCCTTCCCCTTGCAAGCAAAGGCTTCTGAGGATGGGAAATGTATATGGTAGTCCTTCATTCCTTTAATGACTGAAGTGGTGGGTCAGCATTTCTGGAGGGGAGTGAGCTAATTTTTAGTATGCACCTAATGTACACCTGCACAGCTGTAAATAAACATACAATTCATTTCAAACCTGCACCACTGGGCAAATATGCATTCATTTACTTTAAAAGAATGAAACTGAAAATGTCTCACATGACCATTCACTTCTCTGAATGAAATTGTATAACAGTGGGTTATAACATTTGCTCTAACTGTAAATATACACGACACATGACTTTTCAAATTCCCAGTTCCTGCAGTTACAGGACTGTGCTCTTGTTGTACACTTAGCACTGTATTAATATGTGACTGGAAATGAGAAATTGCCACTCATTGGTGCCTCCAAAATTCTAAATCAATCTTCTCCAACTAGGTCTTTATCCAGGCTGGGTGATGATAATGGCAATTGTAGTCCTAATATCTAGACAGTATCGGTTGGGGAAGGATGTATCAGACTTTGGACATCTCTAAAATAGCAGACAACATGCTCCAATAAGCAAAGACCATAAGTAACTTTTTTATTTGTGAGGTCCCACAAACTTTACCCCAGTGGAGATGGGGCTGAAAAGGACCATGATCTAACATACAGCCTCACATTCCTATGATAAGTAGTAGCTTCTAGACACGTTTGTTGGTTCCTCTGTCCAACACAAAAGATACAGTTGAAAATGCTGGGCAAGTGTATGCATGCCCCAAAGAAGTATATAATAATAATAACAACAACTAGTATGCCACCTACTCAAAGGACTGTAATGCATATGTATAACTGAAATCATGTTCAGGATCCAACGGCAGGCTTCTTTCAACTGAAGTGTACAGAGTGCTCCCCTGCAGAGAGTCATGTCCTATCACACAAAATGTGTGTGTGTCTTGATGCAGCCTTCTGAATGAAACACTTCTCAAGGTCAAGGAGTATCATTTCCTTGCAGAAATCGGCCTTGGTAATAAATCACTATTTTAAACTGCTTCTGTCCACCTCTACTAAATCCTGAACTGCAGGACATTTAAATTATGTTTAACAGTTTGCTCCTTATATACATTTTAGTTGATCTGTGTCAGAAGGATGGCAGCAGAACAGTTAAACAGCATAAAATATTTTGCTCCTTAAAAGTTGTGCATGCATCTGTTGTACAATATAGCACTAATTACCTCTATCATCACCTCCAATTCCAACATCTTCTGTCTTTGTATCCTTCAAAAATATAGTATTCTGTGTATGTAATTTCAGTAAAATTATGGTGGTGTCAGTTCTAAAGCATATTCCCAATCTGTAGCTGCTTGATTTTCTAGTAGCCACTACCCACAGAGCTGAGTATTGCCTTATGACCTATACCATTAAGGTTACAAGAACTTATCTCCCCACTATCATCTACCACATTCACAACAGCATTAAAAAAATTTTTTAGAGCATGCTGAGGACCACAACGAAACAAGATACGCACGCATTTCCAATTGAAATTTCGAGGGCATCCAAACTTCGGAAAATCTCACTAAAGCGTTTCTTGTTCTCAGTTCCTTTTACTTGGCTGTTGAGATCTGAAAAACAAATAAGAAATTAAAGAGAAATTTCAGCAAGTTCAAGCAATAGGTTACATACCACATTATATGGATTTCCACTGATGCAATGGAACTTCCTGTTGCTCAGTTCTCCTTCCTGCTGCATTCCTCCATATACCCAAAACCAATTTCAAAAGGTCACCCACAAGCTCCAGAACAGATTTGTGGAGTATGTGGCATGCAGATTTAGGAAGGAGAGGAAATCCAATCTACTGGCAAATGTTATTCCACGGGGGATAGTTATAAGAAGATACCCTGATGAAGTACTGAACTTAATCATACATGAAACATCATGGTCACTGTTCCCATAAAAAATTGCACAATGGCCTCACTTTCAAACAAAAAGTTGTTGAAACTTATTTGAGTCCTTAATGCTGGTTGTCCTCCAAACCCTACTGTAGCTTAATGAAAAGTCCAGTTGGAAATAAAGATGGAAACCATATTTATACACCTACTTTGGAACCTTGCTCAGAATAAATGTATCATATATTGATTAGGAAAAAAACAGTTGCTGAAGTTTGCAGGAAAGGCTGACCATACACAATGCCAATTGACTAGCATACACCTAGAGTCCTTCCCCACTTGTACAACACCATGGCATGAACGTGCACTGGCAATCCCTTTTTTCCATCATATCCTCATAACATTGCTTTCATTTAATCCCCAACCCATACCTAAATTAGCTTAAACTCGGCTTTAGCTCTTGTACTGTTTTCCTATTAAATTGGCAATAACTGATCATAGTTTTTCATGGATGCAATCTAATGTCCTTCACTGACACTGATTCAGTCAGTGTCATAGTCAGGTGACCCTTAGGACATAAGATCAGATCAGATCCTTTTGGCCACTTCTAATGATGCATGGACTTCCCTTCCCCTCCCCTCCTGCCCCTGGGCAATGTCTTCCAGGGCCATTCTGCTTTGGGCAGTGGAAGTCCAGTTTTTTCAAACTATCTTCTCCCCCTATAATTGCCAGGTCTAAGCTAAATCCCACCTCAAAGACTTCAATCAGATTGAATAGCAGCTGACCAATGGGGAGAGGGGGCTGCACAGTGAAGTGGGAGAGAGATGGCTTTCTCTTTACTGCTTCACAGCGCCTCTCTTTCACCCTTACCAGCAGTTCAGGCTGATTTTGAGCATGGTTTAGTGCTTTTTTGGAAGAATACTACAGGTAGTCCTTACTTAACATCCATTCACTCAGTGACTGTTCAAAGTTAAGACAGTGCTGAATGACTTATGACTGGTCCTCAAAGTTCCACCCATTGCATCAATCCCCGTGGTCATATGAACAAAAATCAGACCTACCCTCATTTACAACCACCGCCTCTGCTCCTGCTGCTGCTGCCACCACCCCCCGCCCCCAGCTGACCTTTGTTATCGTCTTCACCTGCCTCCCCTCTGCTGGGCTTACCATCCCAGCTATGCACGGGGGAGGAACCACTGAAATGTCCCGCAGGCTGGTGGGTGAGAACAACGGGCAAGTGGGTGTGTGCCGTGCATGCTCTGTGCACCATTACTGGCTGGGTCCTTCTTTTGTGCACTGGCCAGGGTCTCCTTTTGTGTGCCACACAGGGCCTCCTTTCACACATCGGCCATGTCCTTCTTTCGCAAAAGGAGGCTCTGGTCAGCACGGAAAAGAAGGCTCTGGCCAGTGCACAGGCTGACACAAAAGAAGGTGGTGTGAAAGAAGGCTCCGGTCAGTAGTGGCACATGGAGTGGAGGGTGGTACAGCAGGCAAGGCTGAGCTGCAGGGGCAGCTGGCGGTAGCAGGTAGCTGGGTGACCAAAAGGGCAGAGATGGGAGGGAGATAGGTGGATCGGGGGAGTTGAAGTGGAGGCAGCCCCTTACCTTCTTCCAAGAATGGCTTGGATTCAGGTGGGTCCTTGCCTAATGACTGCATGGGATTTGCTCAATGACAGCAACTGAGATTGCTGGAACTGCTGTTGCTAAGCAGAACAGTCACATGATGTTTTGCTTAATGACTTAGCACTGGAGTTGCCGGTCCCAGTTAGGGTTGTTAAGTGAAGACTACGTGTACTCCAGAGTAACACTATTCCATAGTAGTAATACTGTTCTGGTACCACTAATAGACAGTAATACTACTGTGGATGGGGAGGAACTATCTCTGACTCAATTCTACCAAGAATGAATGGCTGTGGATGTTAGGGCCACCTAGATCTGGGAATATTCCATCTTTGACCTTGGATGGGGTAGCACTGTGTAATCTGGGGTCTTCCTGGATTCACAGCTCCTGCTTGATAGGCAGGTAGCCAGGAAGACCTTTGCATAGCTTCATTTGGTGCACCAGTTGCACCCTTTCCAAGATTGGGAGGCCCTTCAGACAGTCACTCATGCCCTCAATTCAATTACTGCAATGTACTCTACTTGGGACTGCCCTTGAAGACCACCTAGAAGCTCCAACTAGTTCAGAATGCAGGTGCAGGCAGTGATGGGCATAACTTGGAATGCCCATGTGACACCTCTCTTCACAAGTTGCAGTTACCAGTTTGCTTCCGGGTATGATTCAAGGTGCTGGTTGTGACCTATAAAGCCCTACATGGCATAGGGCCTGGTTACTTGAGGGACTGCCTATCTCCTGTGGTGATCACCTAATCAGGTGGATTCAATAG